AAAAATTATGTAAACAGTCATGGCTATTGAAAAGAATGACTGTGAGTGATCCTCTCCCAAAAGCTTACAGTATCCTTGCAATGAGCATTTATATCTTGGATAATTAAAAAAAGCAAAACAAAATATTTAAAAATAAATATCTGTGGCATTTAGAAAAAAGTACAGATATACAAGCATGCTAACCCAGTAACTCTACTCTATTTTTTTCTACTCTCGAAATAAACCATGTGTAAGTAGATGTACAAATGCTCAAAGCATTATTATTAACATGACTATAAATAGCTTATTTCTATCAGAAGAGATCATGTAAATAAGTCACAGAACATCTGTAACGTAGAAATGCAGCAGCAGTTATGGAGAATGGGGTGGGTTTACTACTGTGGGGAAAAAAATCTAGGAATTATTATGATGGGAAAAGCAATTTGAAAGCAAAATGGATGTTATAATTGCATTTATACTAAGGAAAGAAAGACAAACTATGTGTGTTCAAGGGCATTAAATTGTTAACGACAGCTATCTGGTAAAGGGAGTAGATAACAAAGGTGAATTGCTTTTGACTTTGTTTATCCATGGTATTTGCATCTTTTGCAACAATGAGTTCTCATATGATTTGTGTAATTTAAAAGTAACAATAATACATGGGCAAAGTGAAAACATAAAAATCTGAAAGGATGTATAAAAGCATTATTAGTACTTTCACTAACACAGGGGGTTGGGGTCTAAGGTTGTGGATCATTTTCTCAATTTCCTTTATGTTCCTTAGCGTTGGCTCCCCCCTTTTTTTTTTGTTTTGTTCATTCCCCACCCCCCACCCCCTGTACTGGGAATCGAACTCATGACCTTGCACTTGCCAGGCAGGCGCTATGCCACTGAGCTAAATCCCCAGCCCCCTTATGTCTTTGATAATACCTACATGTGAGCTGGCTTCCCAATTAAACCAGCGACACCAAAGTCCTGGCTGGCCAGCAGCAGCCTCTGCTTCTTTCCGTCCTCTCCTCTCCCTCCACACTAGGTCTCTGTTCTCTTATGTAAGATCTCTCACATGCACAGTGCAGGAACTCAAAGCCCCAGATAATCCGGCCTCGTGTCTCCTTTTACTGAAGAGGATGAAACTGAGACGCTGAGATGCCCCCACCTCCTGGCAGCTCTGCTGGGAAAGTGGACTAAGGTGACCTGGATCCCAGGCCCCTCCTCTCCCACCTTCAGTTTCTAGAGATAACCTGGAGGGGAGGGGACAGCCAAGGACTGCTTCCACCAGGTCAGGGAAGTCTGGGTCAAAGGGCAGTCAACCAGGCAGCATGATGAGGAGGCCATAATTAACAACGTCACCATGGCTTCAAAAGAGGGGACAAAAAATCCCCATCATTTGCCGAGTTCCCTCCGGGCTCAGCTTCAGACTCCCTTCCTAGACAATGGCTGGTCACACAGACCCACACACCCTTGCCAGACTTTCCAGAAAGAAAGTGGTGGAGCTCTGGGCCAAATTGGCCTCCAGGGGCCAACGAGCTGGGATTCAACCCTAATGACTTGTCCTGCCAAGAAGCTAGCTTGGGAAGCCTCCCAGGGACCAGCAGCTTAGCGCTGGAAGATCTGTTTGCTCTGAAAGCAGAGCATGGGGCAGCTGTGGTGTAGACCGGAGGGCACTGGCCTGGAAGAAGGAAAACAGGCTTCGGGATCCAGTGTAACCACTGTCTCCAGCTTAGTACCCCATGAATCCGGGAGTTGCGGGGCAGGCAGGGGCTTCTACATCTTGCTCAGGAAGGGTGATGTCTGGCCCCCTCCCCCAATATGGTTCTCTCAGAATCCTAGATGTCGGGAAGCTGCCGTTTCCTCTTCCCCAGCAGCTGCTGCCTGTCTGTCTCCATGGCAACCAGGCCAAAAGACTAATTTGCAGGGTCCCCGCTCTGGAGCTTACCTTGGAGCTGGGTTTTCAACTGTCTTTCTGGAAGCTAGGCCATCATCACTCCCTGGGGCCTCTGACAACATCCCCCAGCCACCGTGTGGGAGCAGCAGGCGTGGGGCCAGCCAGAAAAAAACTCCGTATGTCCTTTACAATCTTCATCCGCTTGGGAAGAAGAAAGAGAAACAGCCTTTCAGCCAGTGGTCTTGTAATCACTGGCAATTTGTGTTTCAAAGACCCCTGCACTTCTCCCTAGCCTCTCTGCACTGCTAAGGAGGGCTCTGCAGATGGCTTTGGGAACAGAAGTCTCCAGCCTTACCCTCTTCCATTCCCTCAGGCTGTTCCCTGCTCTTTGCTGGCCTACTGGGTCCAGGGATCCTGCTGTGGCTTTGTCTGCTTCTAATAGCATTGAAACATAAAAAATACTTCCCAGAAGATTGCAGAGGGTCAGGGTAAGGCTCAGAGCCTTACAGATTTCTCCTTTGGGCACACTATAACATGCCTAACTATACTGGATTCTCCTGAAGCCATTTAAAGTCAGACAGCTACCGGTATTGTTTCCTATTTGTCCTCCGACAACCTTTGCTATAACCTTCTCGGTGGCCTGTCCATTCTTAAGGTTTGGCTGACTGCCTTGGACATGAGAACCTCAACAGCGTAGACCACATTTATGAACTGACCATATAACCAGATTGGAGTCAGGAAACCTGGTTCTAGATCTCGGCCTGCAGCTAACTTGCTGTACAATTTTGAGTAAGTTTGTTCCTTTTGCTGGGTCTTATTCTTCCCCTAGGGTAAACTGTGTACATCAGACTGTAATCCCTCAGCTCCAGCTCGATGTGGATTTCCCCAGGGAGAAGTCCACAAGGCTCCCCACACAGGAACCAGGGCAGTAGCAGATACTCTCACTGTATAGGGTTGTAGTCAGTTCCAAGTAAAACCAATCCAGCTTGGACCTGGTATTATAGGTAGCTAAGTTAGGTAGAAATACTGTAGGCAGTCACAGGGTTGGGTCCTCCAGAGGTCAATGCAGAGGACAACCTTGGCTGGAGGCACATTCACTGACGGCCAAACTTCAAGAAAAGAGGAACTACTCACCCACATACTTCCCCTAGGGATGTACAGTAGTGATTGATATTCTAAGTAGGCATCAATCACCTTGGGGTGGAGGACCAAACCTCCTTAATCCACCCCTTCCAGGAAAGTCCGCTCTGTCTCCTGTACGCTTGCTACGTGACTTGCCTCCCCATTTGATCCCCATTTAATCAATATTACCCAAGAGACTATACTTATTGTAATCTTGTTGGTTGACCATACTTTAATCCCACCTCACACCCATCCTATGATTTTTCCATTGGGTCAATATTACCCAAGCGACTATGCTTGTAATCTTATTGATTATAGTTCTGTCCCACCTTAAACCCTTCTCACCTCAGGGCTTTGCTCAGTAAAACACCACTGAGAAGCAGGGATGAGGGCCGGGTGTGGTGGTGCATGCCTGTAATCCCAGCACTCGGGAGGCTGAGGCAGGAGAATCGTTGTGAGTTCGAGACCAGCCTGGGCTACAAAGTGAGCTTAAGTCCAGCCTGAACTGCATAGTGAGACCGTGTCTCAAAAAACACACACACAAAAAAAAAAGAGAGAGAGAGAGAAGCAGGCATGGCAGGCAACTCACTTTCCGGGCCCCTTTCTGTCCCTCATAGACAGAAGTTTGCTTTCTTTCAATAAATTCCTTCTACTCTTAAGCTCCATTGTTCCTAGACTTCATCCCTCCATTTTAGAGAACACAAACTTGCTGTTTCAGACATCTAGCAGGTTGGGAGTTTCTTTCCCCTTTATCACTGGGGTGGGATGGCTGCCTCATGCTGGGCCCCGTGGAAGCCAGCTTCTGGCCTGGTGACTTGTTTGAACCCCTGACTAACTGATCTGGAGCAAACCAATGCAACTGGACTCTCTTGCTCTCAGGAACAACCTCCAACCAGCACTAGGTGCTCCCCAAGGAGGTGGGGCTTGGAACTCTGAAACTCAGAACAGTACCACGCTGACCTGGAAGTTTAGGATCCCAAGCTAGCCACGGGGGCAGTGTCCTAAGAAGAGCCATCTTTCCCTGGGCCTCACAGCAAAGCCCCATCACTGAGTATGGTTTACACAGGCTGCCTAGCAGCTCATCAGGGCACACCAACATGGAGAGGGTACACAGCTCAGCAAGTTCCCAGGGAAGAGCAGGGGTGATCACTACGGTCTATCCTCACAACAAAGCAGCCACCAACTTCCTCAGGCCGGCTGCACTCCCGCGCATTGAAGGCTTGCACACTCTCCAGCCTTGTGCGTGCTGTTCTCTCTCCTCTTCTCCAGGTCTCTCGTCACCCCTACCCTTCCTCCTCCACGAGGCCTTCTCTGGCTCCAACTATTTCTACTTTTCTACTGTCCACATCCCACAGGGCTCTGGACACCCCAGTGAAATTCTCCTGATTGTGGATTTCTCACTGGGCATGGTGGCACACACCTGTAATCCCAGCACTCTGGAGCCTGAGGCAGGAGGATCGCTGTGAGCTCAAGGCCAGCCTGCACAACACATTAAGACGCTGTCTCAAAAAAAAAAAAAAAACTGTGGATTTCTCTTTTTCTTTTTACGGCAGGGTCTCCCTGTGTAATTCCAGCTGAATTTGAATTTACTGTGTAGGCTTATGGTGATCCTCCTGCCTCAGCCTCCCAAGGGCTGGGATTACAGGTGTGTGTCACAACGCCTGGCTTCTACATTTTTCCAGTATCACAGGAATGAGTAAGTGAGAGAAGGAAACAGAGCTACCATCTGTGATTTTTTTTGTATGAAGAGGTTTAGAATCATTAGCCAGGTATGGAGGTGCGTGCCTATAATCCTAGCACTCAGGAGGCTGAATCAGGAAGATCATGAATTTGAAACCAGCATAGCAAGACTTTATCTCTTTTTTTTTTGATCTTTTTGAAACAGGGTCTCGCTATGCGGTACAGGCTGGCCTTCAACTCACATTGTAGCCCAGGCTGGTCTTGAACTTGCAACGATCCTCCTGCCTCAGCCTCCCTAGTGCTGGGATTACAGGCATGCGCTACCACCCACCCCTAGCACTTTTTTCTTTTTTTTGGTCTTTTTTTGAGACAAGGTCTTGCTGTGCAGTTCAGGCTGGCCTTGAGCTCACTTTGTCGCCCAGGGTGGTCTCGAACTCCCAACGATTCTTCTGCTTCCGTCTCCCAAGTGCTGGGATTACAGGCTTGCACCACCACGCCCAGCTAAGACTCTATCTCAAAACACACCCCATCCCCCCACACAAAAGAATCATGCCTTTCATTTTTGTTGTACTGCCAGCGTTCTCTAAGTGTTTCGATTGACTTGCTCCTCCCATACCCCAGAGGCAGATAGGGAGGAAAGGAGTACGGTGCTGCATAGTAGACACAGCTGGCTTGGTTCCCTGAGAGTGCAGGGACCTGCTTGCTCAAGGCCACAGGGAAGATGAGAGCAGAGGTCTCATTGGTGGGGAGCTCCCAGCCCCTGGCCTGAGTCTGGGGCTTGTTTTACCTCCTGGTTTCCAGGTGTCCCCGTAAACCTCCCACACGAAAGGCAAGAAAGGGAAGGGAGCTTTTTCAGCAAGGATCCTTTGGTTCCCTGAGGGAGCCTCCCTTTCTTCATAAAAGCCCAAAGCTCTAGTCCGGGGGAAGGAAGCTTGTAGAACCGTGGAAGCGCGGACTCAGAGCCAGCAAAGCTAGGCTCTAGACTTGGGATTTCCACTTTCTAGCACTTTGATCTTGGATATGTTGTTTATTTTCTCTGAGCCTGTTTCCTGAGAAGTGACAGGGCTGTTACAGAATCTGTAGGGACCAGGGATAAAAAGATTTCATGTCCCTGTGGAGTATCATATGCACGGCGGCGGCATGGCGCACACAAGCAGGCAGACAAGGCCCAGACCCAACTCGGGGGCAGGATGCTCCCTCAGTGGAGCTCTATGGCAGAGGCCTCTGGCACCATAATGGGCAGACCACACTCTCCGACCCTGCTGCCTCTCCTGCCACTGCCTGACTGGAGGGGAGGAAGGGCAGGGTAAAGAGCTCCTCTTCAATTTGAACCCGCAAGAGGGCATTTTCCTAAATTCCTTGGCCTCATGAAGAAAGATCTGCTTATTGGTGGCTTATAGCTCCACCAGGTTCTGACTGGCATCCTCTTCCCAAATACATTTGGCCATTTTGCTACTTATTTTTCCGCGTAGGATGAGTAGCGGGCATGTAACTCACAACACCAGCCCTGCCAGCCTTGATTGGGGTAGGGAGCAGAGGAAGGTACTGGTATGTGCAGGGAAATGTTTTATTTTAAGATTTTATTTTAATTTAATTTTGTTTTTTGAGATCTCTCTTTCTTTTCTTTTTTTTTCTTTTTTCTTTTTGTCTTTTTGAGACAGGGTCTCACTATGCAGTTCAGGCTGAACTTGAGTTCACTTTGTGACCCAGGCTGGCCTCAAACATGCAACGATCCTTCTGCCTCAGCCTCCCAGTGCTGGGATTACAGGCATGCGCCACCAGAGATCTCACTATGTAGTCCTGGCTGGCTTTGGTTTTTTTTTTGTTTGTTTGTTTGTTTTCCGACACCAGGAATCGAACTCAGGACCTTGTGCTTGCCAGGCGGGTGTTGTGCCTCTGAGCTAAATCCCTAGACCCTCAGGCTGGCTTTGAACTCATTGCGTAGCCCAGACTGACCTTGAACGGGCAGCGATCCTCCTGCCTCAGCCTCCCAAATGCCGGATTATAAGTGTGCACAACCACATTGAGCTAAATTATATTAAGGCCCCAGAAAAGCCACCCATACCTCATCAGTTAGTTACTCAAATCTTATAGGGCCTTGTGAAAAATAAAATGAGATCTGTGGCTGCTATGGCATTTTATACTTTCTCCCCTAGAAAAGGCTCATTGCCATATTGCTATTTTTTTTTAAAATTTTTTTTATTTTTTGGTCTTTTTGAGACAGGGTCTCACTATACAGCTCAGGTTGGCCTTGAGCTCACTTTGTAGCCCAGGCTGGCCTTGAACTCACAACGATCCTCCTGCCTCAGCCTCCCGAGTGCTGGGATTACAGGCATGTGCCACCACGCCCAGCCAACTAATATTTATTTTTATATTTACATTATCTAAGGCCATGGGTT